GAGTTTGGTCTGCTTTTATGAAAGCATCTCCCCCTGACCTTGTTCACAATGTTTTTTTCTGTCAGCCAAATAATTTACAGAAGTCTACTCCTCTCCATGAAAAAAGACAAAGTCATTAAAGCCAGTTGAAAAAAGATTAAGCAATGTCTAATTAAAAATCCGTCTCTCAAGAGGTCTTCAGATCTGAGACTAGTGCTGAAACTTACTACTACTGAGAATGAACTTTAGTTAAGTTACAATGCAATAACTTGAAGAACTATGTTAGTTGAAAAACAGCATGACATGTTTTATTATCTGGCTTACAGCAACTTTGTTGTGAAGAGCAAATGGAGACTCATACAGGCTGATATAAGTGTGGAGCTGAACTGTAAAAACAAAACAAATAGCTGAAGCGTCTATCTACAGTATGTAACCGCTACATTTGATTTATCTAACAAAATGCTTGGGAGGATTCAGCCTTTCAACAATTCCCCTTGTCTTAGGTCTGAAAACATGTGTTGGAGATTCAGTTAATGAATCCACTTTCCTTGTCATATAATTTAATAAGTCCAACATTATGCTAACAACTGCTAATGCACATTTCAAGCCCCCATATGCAAAGCTTAAAAAAAATGATCCGTCTTCAATTTAAGTCAAGACTTTTGGCCTCCCCTGCTCAACAATGCAACCTAATCATATTGATGTTGAACACCCACTTGTCTTCCCCTGTTACTAAAGCACCTTCACTAGGTGACCAGTGGACCTAGCACTGCATTAAAGATTTACATCCTCACTGTAGTGCTGCTGTTTCCCAGTGGGATTGTGGTAGTTTATCTGATGTTAGTATCTAGCAGTTCCTCATATGCCCCTTCATATATCTTCCTCCATTTCCCTCCATCCCCCAGAGTGCAGTACCTTCTCTCCTCCAGCTACAGTCATCCTCCTCATACTCCTGTGCTTTGAGGCTCTCCTCTTTCTCATCTTCACTTCTGTGATGTTCGGCACCCAAGTCCACTCCATCTGTACCGACGAGACCGTAAGTGATCCATGTATTAACCAACAGTCCTCTCTTCCTGACCTCTTATTTCCTGTTTCACTACTTCCTCCTGCTCTTCTCCCTGCTGCTTTTTTTTTTACTTGAGCAAAGTTAACCCTCTTTTTCTAGTTCAAACTGTTAACAGCTATGGCATGTCTCTCGTTTTGATGACTGAGAATAACATGGTACAAATTTCAAGCTGTGGTTAAATGTGAGTCACTGCGAAAAGAAAATAAACTTCTCTATTGAGTACTTTTTGTGTCACACACACAAAAGTGCCTGTTTGTGGTGAAAGTCAGTACTGCAGGCCAGACATCAAGCCTCTATGAGTCATGAAATAACTGAGTTTTAACTTTTTGTTGCAGCCAAAGAGGTAGAAGATGTAGTTTGAAATTGCGAAGTGATGTATTTTAAAGCTGCAAATTAATTTTCATTCAAATGATGAATTTGTCCATGTATCAGTGGGTGAAGGAATCAGTGTCCCCTCTTTGTAGTTTGGTGCCATTCCTAAAATCACTCAGCCTGTTGATGTGCCAGTGTATTCATAGCTTTCACTTGACGTCACTCTCTTATGGAACCTCCCACTTGGAGGGCAAGAAAGGCTCTCTACCACTGTACGCTACTGAGACATTACTGGTCTCAGTTGCCCCCTACGTGTTTTTATCTGTTTTATTTTTTAATTTTTCAAATGAAATACAGGAGGACGTTTGTGGATTAATGCAGTTAGACCCTCTGCGGCCCCTGTGACGGGAAACATAGGACATCTCCTCATCCTGACATTTAATATAGTGTTGACTAAATCTAAATATTCCTGTCTTTAACTTAAATTAATGTTACCTAATTAGCACTCACCGATGCTTGAATGATGAGGAATTTCTTGCCCTTCACTTCTCAAACAGCAGCATTATCGACCCAGACCGATCAATAATACATAAAGCTGCCTGTATGTTTGTAGACTTTCATCCTACAGAGATGTAAGGAGAGGGATTATCCTCTAAATATCAGCAATACCACTGAAGTGATGCTCTCGTGTTATGGTTAAAAGAGTGACCATGTTAACTGATGACTTTTAGACAAACGTGACTGAAAGTGTCCTAACAAATGCCTCTTTGTTCCGGTTTTGTATTATCATAATGTCATTATTACTTATGAGATATGTTTTAATGAAAGCTAAACAAATAGGCTTTCGTTAGGACATGTAACGTACGACAGCCAGACTCACTCGGCTGACAGTCATCAGTTAACCTGGTAACTCTTTTAACCGTAACACCGGCACGGACTTTGCCGTTTCTAGCGATATAAATAGTGTCCCGTGTGTTGTTAAAGTATCGCCAAGTGGCCCAAACTCAAAGTTTATCTTAATATCTTAGTTTTGCTTTGGTTGTCAGGAGATGTAAACGTGTCGTTTATAGTAGATGTTTAATTAAAAGCCCACACTGCAGTTCCATCGGGTTTTCAATGGTGGCCGTTACTTTCCTGAGCTTTGTTTTGTCCTCCACGCTGGTGACGTCACTGAAAGCTATGAATTGGAGCTCACCAAACCGAACTTCTTTTTGTCTGCAACTCAGATACATGGGAGACTTTTGATTATTTAATCGAGGTAAGGGACTGTACAGCACACAGAGGGAAAGGCAACAGGACTAGAGGTCTTCACAGGTCAACCCAGACTGTTGAATCTGATAGCCTAATAGCGATGGTGATTACTGCTTTTTTCAGATCAATTCAGGAAGACAACTATTCTTGTTGTGATTTCAGAATATTGTTATCATCACGTTATCAGTTTTTTATCAGCAAGCACGCTCCAACTCCTTATTCAACAATCCTCTGAGCACTGTCTGCGGCACATGTAGCAGAGAATCACTGCTCAGTAAACAGTGGTCCACACTAGAAAACATTGTTTACAATTTAATGTTTGTTAGTGTTAGATATTATTTAATTAAGTACACTCTCCATGTAGGAATTTTAGCTTTAAATGTAACTGACTTGTGTCCGACCACGCCCCTCTCTGGAAGGGCTGGGTGGCTTGGGCTTACTAGCACCATGCTCTATTGTTTAAGGTGAGAAGGCAGACTCAGAGGGCAGAACAAACACATAGCTGTGGGAGTGTCACCCACCTGGGGGAGGGGTTACTGCCCTTTGTGATGTCATGAAGGGAAAATCGGCCCGTTTGAGCACACATTTTCTGAAAAGACGGAGAGGATGGACTTTTCTCATAATTGGGGGGTTTTCAGAAAGACTAGGGACACATATTAGTGTTTGTAAAACATGGTAGAATGTGTTTTGCATAATATTTAAACCCTCCCCCTGTCACTTGACTTCTGCTGCTCTCTTTGGCTTGTGGCAGCAACCACAGAAAGCTAATCCTTAAACACAATATAATTCTTAATAAATCTAATTGTAGTTGTGTTTTTTAAGGTCTTCAGTACTTTTCCTAATCACATTGAATGTTAAATTAAATCAATATGCATACTGTTAAACACATGGCATGGATATTTAAGTATTGAGACTTTTGACAACATAATTGATATGATGCTCCTGTCAGCTTTTATGATCACCCTTACTTTTAAGCTGGCAGACTTTTTTAAAAATAGATTTCTATCTCTGATGTCAGAATACATGGGTCAGAGTTAGCTTACTGCTGAGCACATTTTCCTGTCAGGTTTGTTCTTATAAACCATATACAGTGGGTAGGAGGGCATATACCAGTTTTAGGCCCCAGTTTGTGTTTAGGCAAGGCTTATAAAATAGATACCAGAACTGTCACAAGTCTCTGGTCTTGCTCCTTCCAGAAATACTCTGGGTGGGGTCCATATCTTGAAGGAAAGATTTCCTATGAATCACAGAACAGATTTCAAGGATCTCTAAATAAATGAAGTTAATCATTTAACAAGGATGCATTCATTGGGTTCAGAGAATTCTTCCAAGGGAGACATAGAATTCCAAGAATATCAGAAGCACAAAGCACAGACAATAAACCAGCCAAAGGATTTTGTTGGTCATTTAAACATTCAAATTATCACATGCAACATTTACACACAGAAAGCTTGGCCTGAGATTTCATGAAAGACGTTAAAACATTCATTGTCACTAAGTTTGAAAAGAATAGGGGTAGAAACCCCTATTTCCATTAAGTTCAAGCTTTTGGGGGAAAAAGTGCTCAAAGTCTGATGACCAAGATGAGGTGGGGAACTGTGCCCAGACTTGCTTATTGGTATATAAGAGAGACGTAGTAGGATACAGGTCTGTCATTTGATCTGTGAAGACCTCTTAATAGGGCTGAAAATGCTACATAATGCCTGTAGAGAAATCACCTTTTTCACACTGGGTTTGTGAACCAAATCAGTTTCCAAAAATAGTTTTTTTTCTTTTGTTAGTGGGTTGATTAAAAAAATAGGATTGTGATCACTGACTGACTGATTGACAAAAGCCAACCAACTGAAGTGTGGTTGTCTCTCGTTTTCAGGGCATAGAGCAGTTGAAAAAGGAAGAGAGAAGATGGGCTAAAAAAACTAAGTGGATGAACATGAGGGCGGTATTTGGACACCCTTTCTCCTTTTTGTGGTTTAGTCCCTTCTCCACCCCTGACCATGGGAAGGCTGAGACCTATCAGTATGTGGTGTGAGAGCTCAGCGCAGGGAGACGAGGCGGCTGTATCAGAACCAGAGTGGGAAGCCCTGCTCAGACCCACAGAGCCGAGCTATGGCAGTCTGTTGCTCCAAATGATGAACATGATTTATCTCCCACGCTAGCTGTGGACCGCCTTCCATCTGCTTTTTGTGTTGCCAACTAAGTGCGCTATACGTTTATTCTTGTGTTGCCTTGGGTGAGTTGAGTTGCAGAGAAAAAGAAAACACTTTTTAGTTTGTGAATCCTGTTTTCAAAGACACTGTGATGAATCTGTTTTTTTTTTTTTCTGAGCCGTTTCTATTTCTGTTGTTGTATCAGAAGCCTTCTCTTTTCCTGCTTGGTTTACTCTTTTCTCTGTTGAAGTTTCAAGTTCAGCTGAATTCCACCAAAAGACATTTTTTTTCACTTATATCCTGCGGTGTCCGGCCATGAGGATGGTTTTAGTTTGGGGTCGAGGTTCTGAGCCCACTGCATTTTTTTTTCTTGATTAATCTCTTCATCTATAAAATGTCAAAGACCAGTGCCACCATGTTTTAAGAACCTGAGTAATCAATCGAACAGTTTTTTGTTTATATAGGGCAAAATCAAAGTAAAAGTTAGTCTAGATCATACTCTTTTACATACAACCAATACACACTTATGACTATATGCCAGTAATAATGCTAAAACTATGTATATATGCATTCAAATAAATTCCTTTAACCTTAAGGATTAGCATGAACACCCTAAAAATCAAAATATAAGAACAAATTATATAAATTGTAGCAGTTGGAATCAAGTAGATCCACTTTGGTCCCAAAAATGTTCCGGAGCAACCTTTTGGGACAAAGGAGCACAAGTTAGTAACACGCATAAATGGGAAGTTAATGCATATCAATAAAAAGAGAAAGAAGGGGGGGCAGCCATAACTATAAGGTTTAGTCCAAAGGGAATATTTTAAGCCTACACAAATAATGACATCAAAGCAAATTATTGACAGTTTGAATTTCCATCATAAAATCAAGGTAACATAAGGTACAAGAATGTACATACAGTATTTCAAACCAAACTATTTTTGCTACATGATCTTTGGTTCGTCCCGAGTAACCCACACATCATCCTTTTTAGATGTCAGTGTTTAAAACATGAAAGCCAACCAAGATCCCATTTATATCCAGTAGTTACTGTAAACAAATCTATCAGCATGGCTACATGACACCAAGATGTGAGTGAAAAAAATGGGTTTCTGGGTAATTTAGATGAATTGACCATTTAAACTTCCTTCTTGTCACACAAATGGATGCTAAAAATATAGCCTACAAAGCAATGCAGAAGTGCCTTAAACCTGCATTCTTTCTAATGGCCAGTAGTGGGCGACTCCACTGATTACTGAAATTATTTAGAAGTCTGAAAATAATGAAACTGTATACATGCTTAACACTGGCTCCAAAAAACAAGAGGATCACATAAAAATGTGAATGTGACATATTCATCCTGAGACTCCAAAACATTACTTGGTGTGCTGATAAGTGATGACAAGGTGGGGGGGGTCCACTTAACTATTCTATGGTCTGACAGTACTCTGTAGGAGCTCCTGATGTCGACTGTAACCCAGAACTTCCACCAGATATGTGTGCGTTGTGCGTCAGCTCCGCTCTGGTACGCTCCCTCATTCGTCTACACCCACCGGTAATGACATAAGGTCATTGTTCCCAACCGTTAATGGACATAAAAAATAACCGTAAAAATGTAGTGTTTTATTCAGAAAATAAACCGGATGTCTTAATGATGTTTCGGTGTCTGACTTCCTGTCCTGTTCGATCTGCACTGTGGTAATTAGATGCGCCATGCTCCGGCATCCGGAAAAAATAAAAGCTTTGCATATCTGCTGCAAAGGGGTTTGTACTGCCAGAGCTGAAACCAAGTGCAGCAAGGCCAGTGGAAGCACGACTAAAGTCGAACACATATCTGGTGGAATTTAGAAGCAAGAGGTTTAATCAGATCCCCCTAAAATGGATTCGATTAATTTCGAGGTACTTTCTGGGTTCTAAAATCTCTAGTTGGGGAATTTGTGCAAACAGGTTCTATTGGGGCTAGCTATTTTAAATGGTGCCAAATACAGCTCATAAAGGAACAGTTTTCCAGCATAGCTGTGGATATTTGACAAGTTGTGATTGATAAATTATTTTATTAAACCATGTTAGGAAAAATGGTTTAAGATTTACTAATCAAAATAATATCTTCTGATACAAACGTGATAGCTACTTCCCAGTGTAATACAAGTGCTCAATTTTTTCATCATTAAGAATCTGCATCACATGAAACTCATCGGGATCCTTTTACAAAGTATCACTACTTGTAATTCAAAAAGGAAAGTGGTCCCTTAACAGGGCGTCGTATTTGAGCACCACAGCTGAAGTCTTCTTCTGGGGTTACTGCAAACGAGGTAAAGAAAGGGAGTTTAAGTGTTTATTGACTTTAATAACTACAATACAGTTTGCACAACGGTGAGCGTCCTCTCTGATTCCTCTCTGATACATGCTTGACACAAACAAAGCTTTTGTTGAAGAGTAGTGATGTTGATTTTTTTTTTTCTTAACTCAAACAAGACAGTACGATTTTGTTTGCTTAAAAACTGTCCTAGGCCATAGCACGGTTGAATTTTGATTTTGGATTCTGTTGGATAGAGCAGAATAGGTTATATTCTGGAAAAACTTGACCAACTACCAAGGTGCATGGAGAGAGAAAGACTTGAAGAGGTCGAAAAGCTCCAGCAACACTTGTATTATGAAGAGCAACCGTATTAGACCAATCAAGTTAATAAAGATGATCTTCATACTACGAGTGTTGCTGGAGATTTATGACCTCTTGGAAAGTTTAAAGTAATGCTTATTTCAGGGCTTAATGAGGACAAATGGTTATGGTCAGTCTAAATCTCAGTCGCAGCTTGTTTGTCAGCAGTAAAACATGATCGTTAAAATGATGTGGATAGGGTTACCAGACTGTCAATCACAGCACTCTAAAAAGCTCAACCTCCCTTTTTTGATGTAAGGTTTGGCTGCCAACACAGTCACAAACACTCCTCGTTTGTGTTTGGTGCATGAACAGTAGACCGCAAAAGAGCCTCTGTGGTTTAAACCCATGCTGTGTTTTAATGTTTTGCATTTTGGATTTAATGACCCCCACAATTACGTGACTAATTTGGTAAGCTTTGAAATGAAAATCATCAAAAAAGGGACTCTGGCTTTGCTTTAATATGGTATTTGCTGGTTAAAACCAAATGGATACAGAGAAGCACCATATGAAATGTAAACCTGTACAGCGGGGACATTAGCTGGACTCTATTTCTGGACTTTTGCAATTCATATCAAAGTACATAATTTAGTATTCCTCATTCATATGAGTATTTAAAAGGTTCATTTGCACTTTATATTTATCATTTAAGATTTGTTCTGCTCTGTTCTAATGTTTGCATTTTATTCTTCCTTTCTTTGTTTACATAATATTGTATGTATCTTTGGTATCTGAATGCATTGTACAGGTGAAGGCTAGTTTAGTAATGTATGTGAATCCCTGCTGGTATGATGGTGCCAAGTCCTGCTGGTGAGAGTGATGGAGAAAAGATGATTTGTTTTTTTACTGAAATTTAAATTCTTTCTAAATATTCTGAAGATCTTTCAGCACATGCGCAGAGAATAAATACTTCTCAGTTGCGATGCAAAGAGTGCGTTTGCTTGCTTTTCTGACTGTATGAATGTCCTTCAAGTGAGGAGGGCAGGTTGCTTCCCAATAATATGTTTGTGCCTTTGTTTTGATCAAACGATGTTAAACCAGAGGTTTCCACTTCTCCTGCATTCAGTCCTCTCACACCCTGTATTGTTGAACTCCCCCTCTGTCCTTGTCTTTCATTCTGTCCCCACTGTACTGTCTGTAATCTACCTCTTTCCCATTCAATGTTCTCTCCACACTCATGCATTTGCTTTGGTTGATAACTTGCTCTGCCAAACGCTTTCTGAAGCAGACAACTCTTTGTAGACTTAAGGAGAGGTAAGCTGCAATAAAGGTCACTATGCTGTCCAGTTAAGCTTAACACATCACAAGCATGCAGATTTCAACCTGAAGACCAAAGTGCGCTACATGTCTTATTTTATTTTTTTGCTCTTTCTGTTTTCAACCAAACATAATGAAAAACTGAGTGAGATCTGGTGCATGCACTGTGACCATAAGACATCTTAGCTTCTTCCACAGGCTTTTTTTTTCTTTTATATTTAGAGTGCATGTGAATCATTTCATACAGTGTTTTATTGCATTTTGGGCAGGTTTCTCAGTACAAAGTGAAAAAAAAGATTTAAAGGATAGTCTTAAAATATTTAAATTCAACCCTTAAAGGCAGGTTGGTAATTTTCTCCACATACACTTTTTAAGATTTTGGTTGAAATTGTCTTTAGGTCCTGACAGAAATGAATTTGTTCTTAACCTAAATACATCGCAGCCAGAGACGTTGTTACTATAACAAACCGTGTAAGAAAGGGACCTTGAGAAGCGGTGACGGTATACCTGCTGATAATGATCAGGTCAAAGGTACTCACTGACTTTATTTCACTCTGCTGAAGCCTCACATCAGCTAATGACAATCTTTTCAGTATATTTCTGAGGTGCAAGGACAGTGTGACTCTGGAGATACATCCAGATCAGCGTATGCTATTCAGATGTGCTCCGATCATCTGGGCCAAACATTTTTCACTCGGCACATTTGTGATCAGGACATTGTCAGTGAGGCATCATTTCATGACCTTTTTCCAACTCCAGTGGACAATTCTTGTGATGCTGCAGTGCTGAGGTTGCATCAGAAACAAGTTTAAATACCAGCATTAATTTTACACATTTTGAAAAATCTTGTAAAATCTCATGTTTGGCTATTTGGGCATCCTTTCAACTTGTTTATTTCAGTTAAATTACTGCAAAATATGTTTTTGGTTTATGGATGTACCCATCATGACTGCACCTGCTGGCTTAAACATCTTCTGACTGCAGATTGAGATTCTCTCATGAGATGCAATGACAGCTAGTGGAACGCAGCAGATTCAGTGTAGGGAGAGAAGGCATTGGGGGAACGGTACAGCTGGGTAACTTCTAACAGCTGGTTAGTCATCACTACGTCTAACAGTCTTCTCTGCAGGGAGAAGCCAACAACAATCCTGCCTCTGATGTACAGACTTTGACCAATAAATCAGTGTATGAGAAACACTTAAAAAGCTAACAGACCATGCATGGTGGCTGCAGGTCCTTATACCTGCTAGTGAAGTGGGAAATGTAAATACAAATATGATAGACTTTCAAAAAACATGAATACTGGAGCACAGACTTCTTACGTGGCCAGTGAGTGAACCACAAAAAAAAGGAAACTAGGAACTTAAGCACCAAGACGCTCTAGCGGTTAAATGACTGAATTTTCTAAGATGGCATTAAGAAGACGGCTGGCAGCATTCACCTGTCAATCAAAGCAGACATGGATCACTTTAAGCCCTCGTCTGAACATCTTAAGTCCAATTTGTTTTGAGAAACAGGCCCAAAGAGTTAAATCATACTGTGTTGTCGCAGTTCAAGAAATCATCGTCGTCAGTGTTGTGATGAAAAGTGCATGAAGGAAACGACAGACATCCAGTCCTGTTTGGCTCAGCATCTTTCACTACAGACTGTTTTTTTTTTTAATTGTCTTCCTCAGGGAATCGAGCGTTTGAAGGGAGAGACGGGGAAGTGGGGGAAGGTGCCATGTTGGGAGGCCATGCGGATGGCGTTCGGTGGCCCCTTCTCTCTGTCCTGGTGCAGCCCCTTCGCAGGGCTGAGCTGCAAGACAACCCCCACGGAGCATGTCCCTGTCCCACAGGGGGAGATCATCGAGGAGGACGTCATAGAGATACCACTAGACTAGCCTTGTCTGTCTTACAAAACACAAAGGAACTCTTTGGAGTTTTTAGACTTGTGACTTTATTAGGGCTTTCCAACTAGTGATAAACCTCGTGCAATTCATATATTTATTTTTTTATTTTCATCTCAAAGACTTTTCTATGTGTAAGTATGGCCTCTTATTCTCAGTGCAGCCATAAGCAGAGTTAGGGGTACAGCTGGTCCGATATGAGATTTTTTAAGACCAATACTGACTTCAGAATGAAGAAATAGCAGAATGTGATTATGGCAGCTGATATATTGAATTTTTAGCTGTAATGATAATTGAACTTTTCCATTTGGATAGTGAACAGATATGACTATGCAAAGGTGCTCAGGTGGCTTCCTTCTTATAAATAATATTATTAAGAAAACATGACTTTATTATACATTGTCCATCACTTCTAGAGAGAATGTGCAGACAGTACTGAGAGTATTATAAACGGTTGTGAACCTTTGTGACTTTTCTCAGTCTACGTGCAGATATCTCTGCTGTGGGTATCAGCTGATACCAAGTACCAGTCTTATACCAGTGTTCACTAACTAAACTGTATGCAGTCAGTGTGTGAAAGTAAACGATGCACATTGTTTTCTGTAGGTGAAATGTCACAACTTTGCAGATAATGCAAGAAGCAATGACTTCTGTGTAGCAAGTGTAAACAAACCTCCTAACAGCTGACACGCCATCTTCTTGTGAGCAAACAATTGGTTCCCAAAGTTGGGAAACCATAATGAAGTACACATATATCTATGTACGTAAACAGGGAATTGAATAGTACCAATAGTAACAGCACCGGATTGGCCTGACACGGCTATCCTATCCCATGAAGTGATTTTATTCATGAAACTATTTGTTATTAAGAGTTAAAGCATGATTTTCTGGGGGGGAAACAATAACATGAACCCCCCCCGAGCAATGTTTTCTACAATTATGTAAACATCTTTCATGTTGGCACACATAAGAAAACACATGTAATACCAATATATGTGTGAAAGGCCCATGTCTACACAATAATATAGGATAGAATCTAATGTACAGGAGATTAAACTTAAAGATTTTTGTGAATACTTTAACCAAACTGTATCTTTGCCCTTTAGAAATGTTCCGCTGTTGCACAAAAGGAAATCTTATATGATATGTAAACGATCATTTTCTACTCACCTTGTGCTGCCAAACCTGCAGTATTTATTATAATGGATTTAAAACTAAGAAACTTAAAGGAGCTAGAAGTACTCAGAGCTCCTCTAAGCACAACCAAAGTGTCTCTGACTTGAATTTGAGAAGATGGGTTGTACAGCGTGTCATTGAGCGGTCTCAGGCGAACACCACTAACAGTAGCACTAGTGTGACACGTGGGAGAAATTTTTTCTTTTAACCACTTTGCTGTCTCGGACGCCTTTTTTTTAGGGTTATGAATTCACGTTGTGCCTTATCCGTCTTGACAAACAAGCGTTTAAATGCGTGAGAAAAAAACCCGTCTGATACTATATATAATTAACCACTCATACATCCTATTCAGGCCTCTGTGTCTGCTGTCGCCATTTTCATCTTTTTACAGTCTGGTAAAAATGGGAAATAGACAGTAACTGACTTCAAATGGAAGAGATGATGTAATAAAGTAAGGTGCTGGATAAGGGCTTTAATCTGTTCAATGGATGCTGGTTGTAATGGGACCACTCGTCTTTTTTGTTTACATTATTTTAACAAAACTGGTTTCTCATTGTGTGGGTTCCATATTTTTTTTTAAATGCATTTTTCATAACGGCACTCTTTTGATTGTTTTTCTTGAACATACATTATCCTCCTTTTCAACAACTTTATATACAGTAAGTCTCAGATATCCCCATGTACATAATCAGACACTATTTAATAAAAGCATCTTTAATTGTTTTTTTTTTTTACAAAATCTTCTGTACAGTTTATTTATTACACACAAAGCAGGTTATTTACAACAAAGTTGCACATTTTCCTTTTCATTTTAGAGAGATTCAAAACTGTTAAGCCTTTATATCACATCAAATACTGCACTGTTAACAGTCCAGTCAGATGATTCTTATAAATATACTATGAACATTTTTAAATTCTGTTCATCATGGCTTCTTTCACTGTCCTCGCTGCTGATGAGAGCAACCTGGACTGTGACTGGAAACCACATTACATCGATGTTAAAGACGCACCGACTGTCATGTCTTTGGTTGTACTGATTTTTTTAAAGGTGTGACCTGCCGATTCCGAATTTTCTTTCTTTAATTGACAGTGAAAAATAAAAATTTGTACTATTGTATATTCAGAATAAAACTGACTGTTAATAAACCAATTAGGATGTTTAATGAAAAGAACTGCACCGGGTTCATGACCATCTCACATTCTCATGCAAAGTAACTCTTCAGCTGCATACTCCCTGACTCTGAAGGAATGAGGAGTCACCCCTCAAGTCACGACAGTTTGCGGCTATTTCATTTGGCTATTGCCTGCTGTCTCTTCGGTCTTTCCTTCTGCCTTTTTTTTTTTTTTAAACACTAAGCTTCTCATTATCGCTTTTAGCTTTTCTTTGTTCTTAAGCTCTCTTCCTGTTATCTCTTTTCCTACCCTGCTCTTTACGTGGGTGCGTGTTGTATTCTCCAAAGAAAGAGGAAAAACAATCTCTCAATTGCAACTCCAAAGGAAAACTTTGCCTTGGGAGATGTAAACATAGACTCATTGGTCTGCTGGCCATAAAACTTTTGGTCTGATTTACAAGGAATCCAACAGAAACAGAGGCATTCAGAAAATCTTTTGGTGGATGTTTGGTTTGCAACTTCAGTTAATATAGACATCAGTATATAATTGAGATTGTGTCATATTCAGTAAACGAAAAATGTTTGTACCATTACACCTTATGAGTCTCAAAGACCCTACCTGACATTTTCTATAAGCAACTTTTACACTTTAAATGCCCGAGAAATTCAAGTAAGTGCCCAAAAAAGTCTGACCACAGGTTTTTGCAACCGGGGCTGAATAGCAGTTGCATGCTCATGTGTCCTTTTTACCCTCTTCTTGTGGAAGAGCCTGAGGCGTGGATCTATGAAGCACCAGCAGTCCACACAGAGTGAGAGAGATGCCTACCCACCATAGAGCTGCATGGGTCTCTCCAAAAATCAGCCTCCCAGGACGGCCTGGAAACACAAAAAAAAAACTCATGTAAAAACAAAAATAAAAGTGAGGTGAATGTAAGAGTCCCTCGAGAGCTTACTGAGGAGATGAAGTTGGATGCAGTGGTAGTGACTGTGGCCCTGGCTGAAGAGGAGCAGTGCCGGAGAGCTTTGGAGAAAAAGGTCCACATGACAGTATTACAGGTGAACAGCAGCCCAGCACACAGCAGCCGCAGAGGGATGTGAAGCTGGAAAACACACACACACACACAGAGGACATTATGAGAAGGTAAGCAGTCCTGCATGTTAGCTTTGGGTAGATGAGTGCTGGAGACTGAATATGCTGCAGCATACAATTCAGATTTTTAACTTGACTTTTGAAGTCCTTAATGAGCAGAGGTTGTGTATGAAAACATGTGTGTAGGTTTTTTGAAAATGTTTTTGTTCAAGCTTTCCCCCCGC